CCAATCGTCTTCTCAGGTTTGCCGAGCAACGTATTGATGTTTGAACATTGTTCGAACCAGCAGAATCTCGGCTTTCTATAAATGAAAATTTACTTTATTCTACTTTATTGGGGAGATATAGATATTTTTCTAAAGTTATCTCAATTAGCGCAGAGGCGCTCATTCACATTCACATTTGATCAGTGTAGATATATGTTGTGAGCATTCTGGTTACTGTACATGATAAATGAATTTGCGAAACAGATGTTAAAATATAATATGAGCTTGATGAATGCAATGGAACCCATGACCCAGGCAAGGGTTGTATCTGCGATGGGATTAGTAAAAGTTATAATGGTATTACGTACTGCCATAATGTGCTTCAGTTTTGGGTCTCTACTCTTATATTCTCCTGCTTGTTCCGATCCTTCGAATTTATGGTAATCTTTAACGAGGAATTTTTTCAATCATATGTAGGAGCTCATGACCATTTGAACGACCCAGGAAACTCGATGTTTGTTGACATTTTGATCGGGAAGTAGCGAAGTGCTATGATAAGTTTCGCTGGACCCTTATTAATTATTTGCGGTATTCGGTACATCCAATATATCAGAGTGGATTAGGTTTGACAAGGTGCCGAGTACACCAGGCATGGTTCTTCTTCAAAAAGGAAAACTACATGAAATCGAATGACGAATTACAGTGGGTGTCTCGTTGAGGTTTGTTGTTCCCATCTCTCGATGTTATTCATTCCACTATTATAACACTGGGAGACATTTGATTATGTGAACGAATATGAGCGAGAGACATTCAACTTTTATCATTATCAGATCATTACCAACATCAAGTGATTATTTGCTTAAAGCAACAACATACAGGACAATTACACGTGCTACATCAGACATAAATCAAACACATCATCATTTAGAACTGTACGGATGAACATCAGTTGTACTAAATTCTAAATACGTGGTAATCATGTAATCATTTGTATGTGCACAAAAACAGTTCTTTCATTCCTCTCATAAGCTCTTCAATTTTTCCTAAGAATGAGCTTTTCACAAAACGATAAATGAAAATGAATTTTATACGATGAAAATATTGCTTAGATTAGACTGATTACATGAAAATGTTAGCAAATATTCAAAAAACTGAATGAGAGATGTAGGATCGCTCGCTACGAAATCAGTGCTATCCATTCGGCACTGCTCTGGCGTCGATGGAAATCCAGCACGCGACCGCCGTTACTTGTCTGATCGAACCTGACATTATGACATATTATTGAGAAGAGTCACTCAACTATTCTGAGGATTATTTTATTAGTTAATTATAATTGTATATTTCATTTCTTTTGAACAATCCAAAAAACTGCAACAGAATTTCTGAATGAACAATTGTTGAAATTAACTTTAAGTTTGCTATCAGAGATTCTGTACTGCTCAAGTGTTGAGGTCAGCACCCTATCAGCTACACATTGCAACATTCTCGTATCTATTAGCCACACAATTGTTTCAAAGAAGATCTATTTATGCCATTATCAGTGAATAACAAATACACTCTAATGATATAAATTAACTGTGATCGAAATCATCAATCATATGGCTTTCGCCAATTATTCTTCATTAAACATATCAGTAATAATAATAAGGAGCATCTCATTAATAAGGAATAAGTACCATCTTACAATGACAAATGCTGTAAACAGGAATATTGAAATACCTCTGATAGAGTTCGCCATTCCGAACCAATTGCAGTTTGGAATTTGACCCGCCTAACGCTAACAATGAACCATCATAAAGCATAAATGTACAACGTTCACCATCCAACACTTCGAACGAATTCAATAATTTATTATCTCTCTCCATTTTCCATATGTACAACATCGATGATTCTGTTACGGCCGCCACTTGATCGTCACCTTCAGAACATAAACAACTCTTTTCATCTAATCAATCCACGACAATACGGGATGATAAAATACATGAGAAACTTTTGCATATGTTAGGAGTTATCGGAATTATAGTTTAATTTTTTACAGTTTGCATTCATCGGTAATAACTAATGCTGAGAACAGTAACAACCTGAAACATCAATAATGCAAACAATATTAACGATGAAAATGACACAGTGAAACATTTAACATTTTAATTGTGGAAAAATTCACCAATAAAATCAACAAACACTGCTTGCGTGTCAATGGGACCAAACAAACGTTGCGGCAAACCGCTATTCGCATCCCACAAACGAATCTTTTTCTCGCATCGACATGCTGTCAACAAACTGTCACCTAGAATTTGATGGAACATTTCTACAGATCTACTTTTGTACTCGCCCTTTCTAAACTGTTTCAACTGCTTCAACTTTTCGTCAAATAAGTCGGAAAAAGATGCTTTTCGAGGTTGCTTATTGCACGCCCATGGTGATGAGTCGCATTATTCGAACGCCACCACATCAACTTCACAATGACTAATAAATCTATCTCGATCCTTTCATATGTATATCTATTTTTATAAGAGAACGGACGGAACGTGCGAAAGGAGATTTTACTGCAGCAACTGTAGAATAAAACAAAACCGAACGGAAATGAAATGAACCATTGGAATTGAGCGCACACGCGATAACGGGTGTCTCATGAGGGAAAACTCTCAGTGAATGCGCTCGATCGATTCGATAGAGACGCGCTGAACCGTCGATACCACCGGAAATGAACGTTTGCGGGTTGGCGTCGAATTGCGGCAACGATAAACGAAACACCGCATCTGCGGACGACTGATACCGTTGCAACTCATCACCGTTATCAGCACGCCAAAGTGCTACCAGTCCATCGCCACCACACGACATATACAACGGATCTGAGCATAAGCCATCGAAATCGACGGAGTTAGTGCCAATGTCAACGTTTGATGCGTTCACCGAATCACCGAATCTCTTCAAATCATACACCACATCCGTGTGAATGCTATTGTACGTCCTGAATGGGTTCATTTGCAACCGAAATGAAAATCTTGACAATAACCAGCAAACAGCAATCGCACGTTGCGCAATATTTTCTCCACTTCTCATGCAATTCAATTCAATTGTTTCGCAAAATTTCTGTTTAATTTCTTGGAATCTTCTGAAAGCTTTCACATCCAAATTTTTCAACATATCAACGAAGAACGATCTCACCCACTAGTGAATGCTTTCTCTCCATTGAACGTTGACTGAACTAATCGCAATCAAGTTTTCTTTTTCAAATACGTTCACTCGTCACTTTACAAAACGCCTCCTATTTTGAGATAGCTTATTCAGCGTAATTCAATGTATTCGTTTGCAATTTCAAAGAATTCCGCAAGACAATATGGGAAGAGATGAATCCAAGAGAATATCAATAGAAACAACGCAATGGCGACAGCAAGAAAGTATTCATTCAAATAAGTATTCACCTTCCGCTAGCACTGCAACTTCGAATAGGTGCATTCAACGAGATACGTCGTAAATTAGCGTTTTTTGAACCCACAGGCGGATGATAAACACCGTCATGCAGCTGTGTCACACTAATCTGGCCACTATTATGACCTAAAATGAAATGTTCTCACAACAAAAAAAATCGCCTTCTTATCAAATCGCTCGGCTCTGTTAACTTGGTAATGGTGATAAGCCAAGACTGCTGGTAACACTGCATTTGCAAATATAACAAATCATTAAATGGCCAATGGCAACTATGAAATTGCACTAGCAATTGGAGTTTCTAATCGGAAGAGGACAGAAATTTCAAAATTTCAATCGAAGCTTCATAGTGTTCAATGAAGAAATGACGACGATGCTAACGACGAAGAAATTCACGTGTCCTACCCATGACGACGTAACGCTGATCAATCGTACCACACGTGGCACGCTCCGCACAATTTGCCCTTATCAGATGGCAACGACCCATTGCAGTGACTAAATTTGTGTCGGTTTTAGATTCAGAATCGCTGTGATTATTTCGTTGTGCGGCATAAACGATTGGTTCTTGTTTGAAGTGAGCGATCAGCGGCATTAACAGCGGACATAACGGCGATAGGTCGCGCTCGATTTGTTGCCAGTCGTCTTGCTCGAGCAGCTCACAAATGTCAGCAGTGCTCTCGGCGGCAGCCGTATTCACCATTCTTCGAAATTCATCCGCTTGCAACGCATCAATATCGCACTCTGATAAATCCTTTTTGAGCAACACGAAGAGCGATTCAGCTAATTTCGGTGAATGCCTATGAAGAGCTTTCAATTGTGCGGCCAACTCAGATGACTCAAAGTAATGCTTTGATATTCGATAGGTTTTAGTGGGTCTCGTCGTCGTCGTATCATCGTCAACAATATCCTCTACGATATCGCCGTTGTCTGGGTGATCGCCTTCTTGATGCTTTCTTTTAATACGTCGTTTTCTTAACAGTTGAGCAAGAATCTCACTGCTTGTATCACTCATTAATGTGCGTGATGGATAGCGGACGCTCGACTGATTGACTGATCTGAAATGCAGTTGTTGAACGCAATCAATTTTTAGATCAATCTGACCCGATATAAAGCAACGTAATAACACGAAACAATCATTTGCAAGATGATTCAACAACATGCTCCTGAAGATGGCATAACGCCGAAACGTTGAACATCGTAAAAACATCTCTAATTGCGCAGGTAATACTTTGTCAATAGAAACTACACTACCGTTTGATCTACCTATTATCGCTATGCGCCTTATAAATGAGGAAATCTTCCAAGAAACATTTACAGACGATCAGCAATGAAGACGAAACATTGCGGAAATTCTTTCTCTTTAAAGCGTCGAAACACTCCCCGAAAATGATCATCAGCGAAAATAATCGATGTTATTTTCAGATGCACGACACCAACCCAACAAATTCACAACTGATCTGAAACCTTCTTCGATGTGAAATAACAATCGATGATCAACTCGAATACTTAGTGCACCGTGCGATTCTCCTGCACATTGTTCAATAATGTTCGTTGCAATTTTTTTCGAAGATCATTTTAAAATGATAAACACAAAAAACTGAAATCACCATTAGAAGACGAGTCAAACTGATAGCGGGTGTAAATTTTGTTGTGCCTTAATCACACAAGAGAATAATCATTATCATGATAGTACATCAATCAACTAATACTGCATAAGTCAGTCGCAATTGAACATTTCAAATGGTATCGCACCTATGTGTATCCTTTATTCATTCACAGGAAATACGACAATTTGATAAAATCTTTAAAATTCAAAAAAAAAAACAACTGAATAATACATAAAAATTATTGAGAGAAACTTTGATGGATGGAGAACCATACGCAAAAATTAAAAACTTAAAAAAATTACACCGAATTACAAATGTTCCAATGTTACAGAATTTCACATATTTCTTTAGAAATTGCAAAAATGTGATGATAAAAAACAACAGAAAAATAATAATGAAATGATCATAGAACAATAAACGTTATAACAATAAAATAATAATATCAACAACACTGAAGAACGTTGTATGAAAAAATTTTGAAAATAACATTGCAGTAAACAACAGTTTCATTGGAGTACTGTTAATCTGATTGCTTAATTGAGTCGGCCTTAAAACTTTGAAACAAGATTTTAGAAAACAGAATATTTCTCAATTCTTATTCATACATTTCAATTTTTGTCTCATGCAAAATTCCATTATTGGTACAAAACTTATCGCCATTATCCTCGTCATTTCCCAATGATATACTTCTCGAAACAATGCAGTCGCTCACTATACGAGGCAATGCACAAACAATAAAACATTTCAAAATGAAGCAAATTCAAATCAAACTGAACACAACTTTCTAAAATGTCAATATAATCAAGTAAAACTGATGAATTCAATCGTTGACAAGGGAACAACACCACAACAAAAATTCGTACAACTACGTAATATTCTCCGATAAAAAGATGAAATTAAAAAAATCATTTATAACCAAAAATACCAGATAAAACGAATGAAACAATTTCTTTGATTTGTAAATCGCACATCAGAATACCACTTCAGTTTGTCACATACCAAACAACACATTTGAACATTCAGATTTGAACAACGCATTCACAACAATAATATCATATGTGCATGCTTTCCACGAATATTGTATATTTTCCATTAAGAGAATCAATTTCATCTTGAGAACAAATCATTCATTTCTTAACTCTCAACCGATCTGATTGATTGACGGACTGTGAATTTTAAAAAGTGAATCTAGATGAATTTTTCCTTGGAAAACTTTAAAGATTCTCTTCTTGGAATGGTCTGCTTCGAAAACTTCCACAGCATGGTAGAGGATTCTAGAAATTGCGATGGATGCCCATATGACAAAGTCAAGACGGTATGAACGTAACAACAGAATCAGCACACACACTGAATTCACCTCTGTCAGAAACATCAATAAACACATACAAACAGAAGGCGATTCTACGTGACACTCAACTGCTTAAAAGTTGCTCATTTGATAACATATTTCAACAGCCATATGAATAATTAAACATCACTTATCGTGAATGGTCTCCTCTTGAATCTTACACTTCAACATCTTAACTTTACATTCTATAGAACTATCGTTCGTTAGTCACCAGCCTGTGGCGATGACAATGCATAATTTCAGACTCACTGTGTCATAGAAACACATTTTCATCACTATCGTTTCTGGTTAATTCTGCCGTCAATTCATTTCTTCAAAACGGATTCCAAATCCTTCCGTCAATCAAAAACGCCAAATTTCCTCGCTGAACCAATGATACTACACATGAAATTGCAAAATTCGCATAAGCTTAACAAAATTGCACAATTTGCATAAGCTTGCGTATTTCCAGTTGATCTTCGAAACAGTAACAAACAACCAAACAAATCGAATAAGTCGTGATTGTCACCGCATTGCTGAACAAAACAACGAACGCAACAACAACCATAATGATAACAACTCAATACTTCCTCGTTCTGATAGATTTTGAAGTTCCGCATATCCACACAA